CACCGATCGTGAGGAATCTTACCCTTAGGAATCTTAAGTAAGGACTCGTCTATCTCCACACCAAGCCTCCTACATACCTGGTAAGTCAAAATATTGAGATTAGGAAGCCTCTTCCTTTTGGGTTCTTCCGCATCACAAATTTCTTCAATATTATCTACAATCTCATACGATCTTTTTCCCAGAAGGCGGCGGATCGTTGTGTACTTCCTCCCACAAAAACTCTCATACTTAAATTCAACCGTACTCCTATCAGGACCGTCCATACGTGCCCTATCCCAACAGCCATACTCGGAAACATAATGAGTCGGACCAGATACCAACCCACACTCATTACATGTTCTTTCTCCATTTATACCGATAAACTGATGGCTGTCTCCTTCAGGACAGAACTTCATTCCGGAGTTATGGGGGCGTATCGGATTCCTTAGGTCCGATGAAATCCAGGCACTCCTTTTCCGCTGTTTCAAAAAGCTCCATGTTTTTACTCCTTCTAAGACCGGCCTTTATTAGCTACTTATAATATATAATATCTCTTTGAAAGTACAACACAACAACTCGAGAGTTCTTCGCGATCTCTCTTTCGCACAAGAATTACGACAGTGATTGCAAGTGCATGAGCAGTGGACACCAGTAGTTTGGGGAAGAGGGGACGGAGGTTGCGGGGAAGATGTTATAAATGCGCGGAATAGGTTGGTTTCACCAGGTTTTGCTAAGCACTGTCTTGCAGAATACGCATGGTGGTCAATCAGCAGTTATCATTGTGAGAAAATGTTTTTATTCAATTGAATATAATTGAGAAATTTACCACTAGTTAAATATTTCATTCCCCAATATATAAATGTTAACCTTTCTGAAGTTGAACATCATCTGCTGCCCCATTGGTGTGTTGTTGTTTCTAAATCAAACCATTGGCAGAAAATTTGCAAAATATTTAAGTTTCGTGTGTCAATGGTGCATGCCAATTAACATTTTTTTACCTGCTTGTGACTGCAAAATTGCAGTTGAAATAAAGCCGATAAAGGCTTTTAAGATTTTATCATTTTTTGTAGGACGGACAAACGGCTTTTCTTTGGGCAGCGAGCACTTCAAATGGTAAAATGGCGGAAAATTTGTTAGAAAAGGGTGCACAAGTGTATGCCAGGCATATGGTGAGGATAGATGTATTTTGGCCCCTTGTATAGACTTGGTCTATTGTGTGTCATCCCACTGAATTTCACCAGATATAATGTAGATAGGACAATAGGATGGATAGATCTATGTTTGTGCAGATATAGTCTATCATTACATCTGTGTCATCTGTATATTGCATCCAACATGACTGATGTACGTGTTGAGAAGTTCACTCCCCCTGCTGGTGTACTGTGGACATCAATTTTGCCAAGATGAATGCGGACATTAATTCTAGCCTAGGTATGGTTTGTGTCTTAAGTGGTGCAATCCTAGTTTTGGATGTTAACAATTCGACAGTATGTACATAATGGACGCTATTAATACGGTCAACAATTTAGGGCCATTAGTCCGTGTGTGTTGTGACCTCGAAAAGTGCCTAGAAAACGATTTTCATTAAGCATGTCTTAGAACTGAAATACTTTTACGGGAACTAACACTTTCGAACACGCTGAGTTCAAATCTGAAAAGTTCCCACTCTGTAGACCCGCAGTTTGTTCACAAAATGCTATTTTATCTTCACTAATTTCACAACAAATTTTTTCATTGTTCAACGGTACGGATCGATGACGATACACGATTATGTCACTCAAAAGGACCAATTTCTATTAACCATTCTTCCTTTTAACAAAAGATCGGCTTTGCTCGAATCATTTTGAGTTATGTAATCTTATGCGTGTTGGACGTAAACAACATATCTTGTCTACAACTTTGAGAAGGTACAGATAATTGAGAAATAATTCTTCACATGCGATCAAAATGTTTTATACAAAGATATAAAACGGTAATCTATATGTAATGGATCAGCATTGAAATTTCCAACACGGTTTCCAAAACGTAATTCAAGAGATAACTTATCATTGCATTAGAACTATTACATCAGTTGGTGTTATACTGTGCGATAAGCAACAGCTCATACACACATTTCTCCACTTCGCGGTAAGTTTACAGAGCATATTTTATACTTTGTGACTGATCCTTGTCTTTGATTTGAACATTTATTCTTATAGTTTAAGGTTATTTAAGATTGATCCTGTCGTAAGTCTTCTATCTGCAACCATTCGACAATATTTCGTTTTAGCGTTGTCTTTGCCGTTACGTTGGCTTCGTGTTACTTTTGTTTTAAATATCTTGATCGCGTTAAATTAGTTACTTTTCAGGCCAGTGACATAGCTAAAAGACTTGACATTAATGTCCGTGTGATTTTATAGAGATATCTCTAGAACTGAGGATTTTAGAAAGCATTATCTGTACCTTCTCAAAGTTGTAGATAAGATATATTGTTTACGTCCAACACGCATAAGATTGCACAACTTAATAGAAGTTGGTCCTTTTGAGTGACATAATCGTGTATCGTCATCGATCCGTATCGTTGGACAATGAAAAAAATTGTTGTGAAATTGGTGAAGATAAAATAGCATTTTGTGAGAAAACTGCGGGTCTACGGAGTGGGAACTTTTCGGATTTGAACTCAGCGTGTTCGAAAGTGTTAGTTCCCGTAAAAATATTTCAGATCTAAGACATGCTTAATGAAAGTTAACGATATCGGGTCACAACACTGCACGGACTACATGTAGTCGTGGTAACGGGGTAATGGTGTTAACACAGTCGTGGCCATATCAAGATGTGTGGGATATTTGGATCCATGCCTCATATTAACTTCATGAACGCAATTGCAAAATTACTTTTTTGGTACAACCACCTACTTCAAATCATTCTGAAACCCCTGACATTTGGCAGAGGTTAGACAGGGTAGGAAACATTTGGTATAGGAAGTTTAGCTAATTTTTCAGGTGGGAACCCTGCTAGCAAGGAAACTGAAAGGGATATTGGAATAAAAATGAATTTAATTTGTCTCATTTGCTGAAACGTTTAAAATTTAATATAAAACTCCTTCACCGATGTTTCATATCTTGTTTATAGTTTAAAGTGCCATTATCATGTGCACAATGGTAGTCAAACCCCAAAGCCAATGTAGATGTGGTCAGCAACTAGCCGGTTTCGATATGAGTATATTTTCTCAAAGAAACTTATCATATATTAACCCGCCCCTGTGTGCATGTTGTCACATGTGAGCTCTTTGCACGCAGTTGGAAATGTTTAATCTAGTTTTGAACTGTTTTAAGGGCGAGTACCTATGGACCGACTTTGAGACCGAGGATCATGATGTGGGTAAGTATTTTTTCAATTTTATATAAGCCAATTCAAAGTCTCGACTGCGCATCCAAAAGGTTTGTTCTGCGTCAAGATAAATTTGACAACATGGACTGTCAAAGTATTGAGTTGTTCAATCATTATTTGTGTTTCTCTTATAGCCACAATCAATAGAATCGTCATTAAATACATCTTACATCAAAGCTGGTTAATCTCGCTAAGAGCACTTAAAGCTTCTACTTGCATGCATGCCTAAAGTATTTCGTAGCTATTTCCTAAACAGTTTATGTTTTGGTATTACTGACTAAAAATTAGATAGTCATATATATTATAACAATTGTGCTACAATGTGACGCCATAGGTTTAAGTGCATGGTTAATATGTATGGATTGTGTAAAATAGTATCTCAGGTATGTGACATGTAATTTAATGTTGTTCTGTTAGATCACTTAGAGTTAGATGTATTTATGTTTATATTTATATATTGTAGTTAGTTAATTCACGTGCACGACCACATCAGCTATGCTGTAAATTTACTATTGTGTTTAAATAAATGATTTTATTATTATTATTATAAATAAATTTGTACCAGCATAATTATTTTGTTTTTTGTGTAAAGCAAAATAAAGAAAGGCACACTTCAGGGAATATGTTTTCTAATTTGAAGTATCTTTTGAGCAACTTTTGCATATTCAAACGGTGATTGAACAGAATACTTTCATATGCTTTACATGTTATCATATAGTTAATTTCAAAAACTTCATTAACAATTCACGAGGAAAACACAAAGAAAAATAATTTGCGTGTCTTATCTTTATACAGGAATGGGCCATTCCATTTAATATCCCCCCCCCCCCGGTTGACGAAATTTTCCGAAGGACCGTTTCCGAAGGAGTCTAAAATCAGTAATCTCGTCAGCAGGGGGGGTGGATTTTAACCATTTAAAATGGCCCAATTTCCCAAGAAATCGACATTGTTTTAAGGACAAAAGATTTTAGGCGCCTGGGAATTTAAAATAGCACATCTGTCAAAATTACTGCACACGCGAGTGATAAAGCAATATTTATGTATTTATTTAATGCACTTAATAGTTTTTATTTTACAAGTACAGTACAACAACAGTTAAATTATCAAGGGCCTTGTCAGATGATAGTTAATAGAATAGGTGGTGTGGAAACTCATTAGAATACCAAACATAACTCATTATCTATGTTAGTCAACGTTTATTCACAAGCATGGTCGTTCACCGTCACGTGTGTATTGCGTTCATGCCTAGTCCACGACTAGGTGCACAAATAATCTGGAAGAAGAGATTCCCTAACTAAACCGTGTACGTTCATTGACTGTGAAGTTATTAAATTTATCCTGACCCAAAACACGTCTTGGTCGCGACTCTGAGTTGGCTTATTCTCGCTATTCATAACTGATATACCAGCAGTCTGCTGCCGATTACAAGAAACTGGACTACTTTTATCTATCTTATTTTATAGATTTTTTAAAGGATTTGACCGAGCGTACAACTGGCAAACAAATATGCCCAACTGAGCCTGTGCTTAAAACAATGGCTGCTCCCAATGATATGGTTGGAATGGACCAAGGTAATCAAACACAAATCAAACCGGAGGGCCTGAGTTTACTGTTTTTTGTCCTGTGATATTATTATTAGCTGTTTAAAGTTGGCACTCTAAATATCTTCTTGCGCAGATTTTCGTTAATGCGCTACCTTTGTTGGTAAAGTAATTCAGTTTTCTTGAACACAGTGCAAAAATGTACATTGCACAATTTCGCCCGAGCGAAATTTTCTGAAAACGCACTTTTGCCGAAACAATAAACGGAGCGAGAAGAAAACGGAGCGCTTGGCGGTTTCGTGTAAACAGCGGCACCGTATTTATCTTTTTAACGTTATTTTTTATTTTTTTCAAACGAGCTTAATGTGAGACGAAACTCTAACAGCTTAGTGTGAACACACGCTTCATCGTATAGTGCATGTGAACGTAGTTTAAATCAGATCGTACTTGGCCATTTTTATTGTAATGATACAGAAATGGTGTCAATTAATAATGGACAGGTAAAAGCCTGATCTTTATTAGAGTGACAAAAGTAAGTCTATAAACTTAATGTATAGCAGTATGATTGCGGTTTCTCAGGAATTATTAATGCATGAGTTTGAGATTATTTTATGCTGCACTATCGTTACCCAACTGATACCATCTTAAGAGTTGATTATATCATTCTTTTATTTCAGAAACAAAGAAACCAGCAGTAAACCAAAAGCCTCAAGTTAAAATTGAACGGGTTAGTGTTCCTGATTTTGACTGGTGAAATTTTCAACAAAGCAAAATTCTGAATTCGCTTCAATTTTTAGGAGAATAATGAATACCCAGAAATACCAGTACGCCGTAAGTAGCCTTCAAACCATTACCATTGATCATATTCACCTGAGTACACAACACCAACACAGAAAAAATCATATTACTAGATTACACAGGTATCAAAGGAACTAGATTCTGTTCCGAAATACAGTATCATGCACTTACTCGAACCGTCCTGACCGCGTAGCTCAGAGTATTGGGCTAGTATTCCAAAGGTCGTAGGTTCGATTCCCACCGTGGCCGGGCATATTTTTCAAGCTAGCCCGGTGTGGATATACACTCAGAGTAACATCACAAACATCATATTCATGCACCTGAGTACACAACACCAACACAGAAAAAATCATAGCATTGGCGTTATGCAAATTATAGGGTTGCAGTTTTTTATATACACCCTATGTATGGTAGAAAATTTTAATCTTTCCCACTATCGTTTGCAATATTTACCGACCAAAGTTATTAGTATAGCATTAATAGATGTCTTTTCTATAACATTCTCTTTTTTCTATTTTCAAACCTTGTATGGACCTCAGGGCCGTAGCAACCGGGGGGGCTGGGGGGCTGCAGCCCCCCCCCCCAATAATTTGCTAATAATCATTCTTTTTTCAAAATCATGCAAACTTTATCATTTAATCTGTGACAAACTGCAAAGAATGAAGATATTACTCATACTCCAGATCGTTCCTCGCGTAGAAATTTTAGCTGAATTTCTGTCGCGCATTTTCAAGAAAATCCCACAAAATCTGCACATTTTGATGAACTAATGATTTATTTTGTCTTTTGCGTGTTGGGTCTTGCGAAAGAAAACTCTGAAAATGCCATTTCAGACCATCTAGAGACTCCAGATTTTCGAAATTTTCTCAAATGTTCTGCCTTCATTTCCGCGCAACTGCCATTTACGACGAAAATTCCCGCCGCGCATTTATAATACTACAGTCTGGCCCATACTTTCCTGTAAATTTCGACATGCTAAAACGCTGTTTTCTGACTATCAGAATTCTGTTAAATCTTCCCCCAAAGTCCAGGAAATGGCATTTTAGAGACTCTAAATTTAAAAATTTCCTCGGGCCTTCGGCCCTCGCTTTCAGCCCCCCCAATCGAAAAGAGCTTCCTACGGCCCTGATGTTAAATGGAAAATCAGAGTACTATTGTATAAAGGGTGAACTGGAAATGTTGTTTTAACGTAGTCCAGCGCAGGGCGGCGAGCGAAATGGTGAAGTGGAAAACGGGCTTAAGTTGTTGAAGTCTTTTTTAATACTGCTGTTCTGGCAAGCAAGTTAATTTTGGCTTGGAAATAAGTATGAAAGAAACAAATTATTTAATATCTTTACAACATTTACCGTTTATTCATTTGTGTCATTCAGACTTATTTCCGAGCCAAAACTGAACTGAAGGTCATCGGACATATGTCCGACCCAAACACAACATCACCGGACATTTTGTCAGACGGCCCTGGAAAAGATATTTTAAGGCCTGATATCAGCGACCCATGCAAATTGTGGTTTTTTGGCCATGTGGGTGTCGACAAGCCCACTCTTGTGCAGCGCATCATGACTATAAAGAATGTCACCATCTTGTAATCCGTATAAGCTGTTAAAATGCTTCTCAATGCTGCAGTGGAAATATACACCGTTGAAAACGGCACTTTCAATTTGACAACTGACCACATCAAATTTATCCAAACCCTTTTTCATTTCTTGTGCAAGAGCTGGACCACCACTACCATCCTTAACCACTGGTTGCCCAAAACTGACTAACGCAAGAAGGTTTTCAGCACCGGGACTAATAGTGACACCACTAAGAAATTGCATTGAACGGTGCTTATATGTTGCCTTGTCTGCAGATAACGCTAAAGGTGGCATATGACCAGTCTGTTCGAGTTTTTTATTTAGAAACGACTTGAGTTTTCTCTTGACGACCATATGAACATGTGGTCTAAATAAAGCTGGGAAGTGTTCAGAGTGATTAAGATGGCCTATTTTGGCTTTGGCTTGTTTTAAATTAAAAACATCGTGTTCATAATCTGTGTATGGACGACCTTTTAAAAATAGTTTCATGCAGGCCCGACCTAAATTCATCCCAGCTTCATAATTGTTCCCTTTCCTTTTGACAGCTTGTTGTTTCTTCTCTATCTCTTCCATTACGTTTGAAAGGTGTTTTTTTAGATTTTTTTATGTGTCTTTTTAAATGTTTTTTTTAGATTTCTGAACTCTTCAGGAAGATTTTCGTCTTCCGAAAATAGCAGGCCAGTTTTCTGTTCATATGCAAAAATCCCTGTTAATGAACCAGTCTGCATAGAT